GGAGAAGCAAGCCCTTCCAGGAGCCGTGCCCTCCTCCCAGGTCAAAGACCCCAGATGGAGGGAGGATGGGGGCCCTGCAGCTGGGCCCCAGGGGAAGGCCCGGACTCTGGGCTGTAGACCCACCTTGGCCATGTCATAGCTCTTCCGCACAATGGCTCGGGGGTTGAGCTCCTGGGCAGAGACCAGGCTCAGTCCTAGACTCAGCAGGAGTAGTGCCATTCCTCCTGGTGGGTGCCTCACCCGTGGCGCACCACCCTTATACCCCTTTCTGCCGTGTGGTTTCCACCCCCTGCCCCCAGCACTGCCTGTCCTCCCCACCTGCATGCTGGGAACACAGCCAAAGGCCACCACCGCTGCTGCCACCTCCCACGGCTCTCGGATGTCCTGGAGCCAATGACGGGCTTACCCTGCAGTCTGCTCAGACAGAGTGTCCGTCTGGGTCAGAACCGCAAGGGGAAGTCAGGTCAGGCTGGGGGCCCTGGAGCGGAACCCCCGGCTGCAGGGGCCCTGGATGATGCTGGGGCCTCCCTGGCCTCTCTGTGCTGCTGGAGCTGGGCAGCAGACAGCCCCGAGGGCGCCCATCCCTGCCTGGGCCTGGGCGTCTGGATTCGAGAGCATGTAGGTGCCATGCAGCCACGCGTGCAGGGCACTGTGTGGGCCGTCCTGGCCTTGAGGATGTGACGGTGAATTTGGAGTGAAGGTCCACAGAGCCCTGTAAGGGATGAATCCCAGGGGAGGGGACATGGCGGGGGGGCAGGTGGTGGGGCCAGAAGGAGACGGTTCAGGGTTTGGGGCCTGAAGAGCACAGACGTGGATTCATATAGATGTGGGCCTGGCCTCCACCCAGGCCAGGGTCCAGGGCAGTGGTGGAAAGTTCCCCGTCTCCCCGTGCTGCGTGCAGGCACAGGGCCAGCAGAGGGCCTCAGGTGGACTGACCAGGACATTGGACACCAAATCCTATTAAAAGTACCAGATCATAGCTCATGCACTGGTTGAATACTGTTCCAGGGTTTGCAATGACAGTGAGTACCAGTTCTCAGGAAGCCCCCTTCCGGGGGGGCTGCAGATACCAGACAGACAGTGGGGCCGCCCTGCCCACCGCTGCCCCTGCCAACCACTGGCTGGCCCGGGGCAGGGAAGGACCCCCTCCCTCACTGTCCCCTGCATGGCCCCTGTGGCCTCCAAACCTCTGGAACGCTGCACCTGATGTAGCCCCTCGGTCAATGTCCCATCCCCTGTTGGGCTTCCTTGTTCACTACTGGGCTCCTGTTCCGAGCTGGGCCCCCTTCTCTATCTGATTCACCAACTCACTCCCGAGGCAACAACCCTCTCCCTCTGCCTAAACCCGGCTTCCCTCTGTCACTCAGCGGGTGCAAAGTAATTTAAAGGATGTGAGTCTGACTGTCCTTGTAGGAGGGGTGTGCGTTCTGCAGGGCACGGGGTCAGCGGGACTTCCTGTCTGAGGGCTTGCTTCCCCAGTGTGGTCTCAGGATGCGGTGAGGATGGAGCAGGTGTATCTGTCCACTCCCTGGATTCCCTCCGACACTTGCTATTGGCACCTGTCATGCCCCTGAAGGGGGGCCGCCAGCTGGTGGAATGTGCTGGATTCCTCTCCAGGAGCGGAGCCTCCCCTCAGCCCAGCCCCAGGCCCCTGCGGCCTCAGCCTCCCCCACTGCCCCTGTCCTGGGCCTGCCTGGGCCGCCTCCCCATCTGGACGCTCCCGTCGACGTTCTGCTCCCCAGATGCTGGACAGCTGCGGGCACGGATGTGTGCTCACCCACGCACACACCCTACCCTCAAGGGCAGCCCGGTCTCCCGCTTTCCTTCACAGTCAAATTTCTCTAAACACAGAATCCAACACCGGCTCGAATGGGAAAACAGGGAGAAAATATGAAGTAATTCAAAACTGATCTTGACTTTCAGGTAAAGATGGCATCGTGGAGGCCTGTGGAGAGCCAGGGGCCGTCGGGGTGCAAGGGCGGCCGTGGCGGCTTCGAGGAGTGAGTCCGCCTAGGTCACTGTCCCCCGGGGCTGGCCATCGGGCAGGGGCTCGGCCTGCGTCTGCTCTCCCTGGGGGCTGGGTGGCCCCACGCACCAGGTCTTCTGAGAATCACAGGCCTGTGGCGGGAGGGGCACCTTCCGGGGGGGGGCGGAGCGCACAGAGACAGGTGTGACGCCGGGGGCGCCGTGGGGAGGCTCGGGCACAGGGAGAAGCCTCTGTGTGGGCACAGAGGCGAGAGCAGGCGTCTGGAAGCCGAGGAGCGCCAGGGAGGCCGCTGCCCAGAGATGGGAGAGCGAGCTCTGCCCGCACCTGCTGCCCACGCTCGGGCCCCCTCGGCTGTGCGGGCACACGGCTGTGTGGTTTGAAGCCCGTCATCTGTGGCAGTTCGTTACGTAGCCTCAGGAAGCCAAGACACCACACATCCTGCTACGCTCTCAGTAATAAACATGAATTTGTTTTTAAAGGGGGTGTGGGGCAAGGTGCGTGTTACGACCACAAATTCCAATGGTGGGATCCGGCGTGCTGTGACTTCCCTGTGCATCCGTGCACCTCCTAACGCGGGGCTCGAGCTCACGACCCTGAGATCACAACCTGAACAAAAACCAAGAGTCAGCTGGCACCCAGGCGCCCCATCCTTTACTTTTCAAGTGGGACGAGGTCCCGTCGTCCGGCAACCTCGAGAAGCCCCCGATAGCAGATGCATCATTATGACTGAGACTTCCTGACGTCTGCATCATCAAAGGGCCTGCTGACGTCACCACCCGCAGAACAGGGGACAGCGTCCGGCCTGTGGCTTTACAAAGACCCAATGACAGAATGCTTGGGGAGCACGCACCTTGTCCCTTACATCGCTCCTGGCCAGGTGAAGGGACCCTTCAGGAGGGATGTGGACAAGTTTGAGTGACTATGGAGAGGAGGTCACCGGGGCGCACGTGGCATTTCAAGTGCCCTTGAATTTCTTTGAGAGGGGCCCGCCACCCGCTACGGGGTGTGAAAGCTATATCCCGTGTGGCACTGCCTAAGGCAGACCGTCCGGTACAAGTGGACGCGCACTGCATTTGCAACGTCCGGTTTTCTCGTAGCCACATTCTAAAAAGTAAAAGAAACGAGTGAATTAATTTTCACAACATATTTGTGGTTAGCTCAGTAGATCCAGGCAATTCTGATTTCAATATTTTATCAGTCTAAAATTATTAAGGAGATATGTTCATTCTTTTCTTTCGTCCTACGTCTGCCTTCAAAACCCAGTCAGTGTGTTTTGGGCACTCACAGTACATCTCAAGTGAGAGCGGCCATGTTTCGTGTGCTCGGCAGCCACACGTGGCTGGTGGCTACTGAGCCGGGCGGTGCAGATCAGAAGCCTCTTGCCCACTCACCGAGTGCTCGGGAATGAATGAAGCACCGGAGATCTCCACTTTGCTTCAACACATAACCCTACAGACCCATGACCAGAAATCCCAGGGTAGGCTCGGGGGGGTTGGCCGGAGCCCAAAGTTCCACGTTAGAACCTAATGCCTGTGATTTAGGCTTTAATCCCTGTTTACAAGCATCGACCTTCGAGGGAGCTCAGAGCTTTTATTTAGACCACCATAGTCTTGGGACAAATGAGCCATCTTACTGTCTCAGGGAGGAAAAAAACCAAGAAGGCTACTTTTGGGGCCTGTCACGCCTCCTAGAGTCCAGGAAGCCCCTCCTCATGAGAGCCAGGTAGTGGGGAGGTTGGATGCCTTTCTCCTCTGCGATCCAGGTGGAGGGGCAGGTGCCCTGAGAACACCAGTAGCACAGAGCTCCCCGCCCCAAGCCGCCTTCTCCTTCTAGAAGCAGGACCTTCGGTTGGTGTCCCAAGGTCTGCCAACTAGACGTCGTAAATCCACGGCTAGAAGGTGGCCAAGTGCAGCTGTTTACTATTTAAAGTCTACTTCTCTCTGCTTTTCCCTCCAGGAGACCATGAATTACAAGAGAAGGGTGCTGTTATTGATCTCCTGTGTTTTATACTTCATGTTGCTCGAGTATCATTTCAGGTAAACATAAAATACTGGTCAATGTTGACCTGCCTCAATCGGCAGAGAGGGTGTGAAGAGCTGGGTTTGGGGGGCGCCTGGGTGGCTCAGATGGTTAAGCGTCTGCCTTCGGCTCAGGTCATGATCCCGGGGTCCTGGGATCGAGTCCCGCATCAGGCTCCCTGCTCCTTGGGAGCCTGCTTCTCCCTCTGCTTCTCTCTCTCTCTCTCTCCTCCTCTGTCTCTCATGAATAAATAAATAAAATCTTTAAAAAAAAAAAATTCAAATAGGTGGCTAAGAGTCACCACATTTAGAAAAAAAAAAAAAAAAAAAAAGAGCTGGGTTTGGTGCAGACGTTACTAACACTCTTGAAAGTGACCAGACCTTCCCTTCTCTCTGGCACAAAGCAAAGCGTACCAACTTTAATTCGATCCTCTGTGAATGGGTAACAGTGATCTTGGAGGGAGCAGTAGGAACCCAAACCGCCTGCTCTCAGGGAGCTTTCCATTCCAGATGGAGAAGGCAGACCATTGCAACATGGGGTGTCCGAGTTTACATAACTAAAGGCATGAAGGAAAAGGGAAGCGAGGTGAGGGATAGCACGGGGTTGCTCTTCTGGACAAACTGGAACGGCCCAAGCAGCCTGCTGGGGCAGCAGGTGCGCCCCGGGGTGGCCTGCGGTTGGCCTGTGAGAATTCTCTCCTGTAGAAAAATTCCAGTCCTCGCCTTCTCGCCCACTCCGCATGACCTTCTAATGAGCAGGGCGGTCTCCCCAAATGCCATTTGAAAGGCAGCCATATCGTGAGAAATAACATCTTTAAAAACGAAGCCTTCGCAAAACGCATGTCTGATATAAGGCTCGTATCCAAATATGCAAACAACTCTTCCAGCTCAACCATAAGGAAACAACCTAATTAAAAATCGGGCAAAATCCGAGCAGACAGCTCACCGAAGATACACAGAGAGCAAAGAGGCTCACGAAAAGACGCTCGGAATCATTCGTCACTAAATAATTGCCAATAAGAACAATGAGATGCCACCACACGCCCAGGAGAATGACCCAAATCAGGAGCGTGCCGGCACCACGTGCGGGCGAGGACGTGGGGCACGGGACTCTCGTTCGTGCCACGCACCACGGGGCAGCCGCTTTGAAGCCACTTTGGTGGCTTCTTACAGAACTAAATACAGTCTTTCCGATGATCTAGCAATTGTGCTCCTATTTATCTGAGGCGTCTGAAAACGTACATCCACCAACAACCTACCCAAGGTGTTTATAGCAGCTTTCTTCATAATTGCCAGGGAGTGGAAGTGACCGAGGTGCCCTCCAGTGGGTGAATGGATAAATCAAGTGTGGTGCATGCAGACAAGGGGATATCATTCAGCACGAAACGGAAATGAGCTACGGAGCCATGAAGACACGGAGGAAACTTAGATGCACATCACTGAGTGAAGGAGACCAATCTGTATCTTCAACTCCATCGAATGGGAGTCCTGAATTTTGTGTGGCAAACTTCCCTACAGAAGGGGCATCTCTGCTGGCAAGAAGCTTTGGTGTGGGAAGGCCTACAGAGTGAGGGCAAAGGGGCGGGAGCTAGTGGGGTTCTGATGGTGACAGAGAAACCAGAGACAGAAAACCCTGCTGGCAGCCCGGAAGCCAGCTTTCTCGCCCATCGGCTGGGAAATGGGCTGCCCACGTGCGCGTCTCTGTGAGACCGGTGTGTGTGTGTGTGGGGGGGGGTAGGTCCAGGGAGGGTGGTGGTGTTCAGGGAAGAGACAGGACACGAGAGGACAGTATCGCACAAGTCTTCTGTCTCCCGGAGCCCACGGGGAATCCAGGAGGGGCCCCAGGTCCGTGTGACGGTTTGCTTCTCTGGGATTAGCGGACGGCGGGTGGGTTTCATGGGGGCCGCAGCGTCGGCCTGCACTGCAAACAACTGGGCGTGTGAGCACGCGGTGTGGGGAAGGAGTAGGCGAGTGGCCAGAGCTGGGCACCCTTGGGCCGCCACGGGAGAGCAGTCCTCGGCACCCTGCAGCTTAGCCCCTCACGTAGGACGAGGCTGACCCTGCTGTGGGTGGAGCACCTTCCTCTAGGGTGATGGTTTCCTTAGGTCAGGACCCCCCTCTTCAACCAGCCATGTTTTCCATGCCTCCATTGCTCCGTGGGACCCCAAGCATCCGTGACCCCAGCATTCTAAAAGAAAGGCCACTTTGGGGGCACCTGGCTGTTCAGTCGGTGAAGTGTCCGACTCCTGATCTCAGCTCAGGTCTTGACCTTGGGGGCGCGAATCTGAACCCCGAGGTGGGCTCCGTGTTGGGTGTGAAGCCCGCTTATGAATAAATAAATAAATGGCCACTTTTTAGCACTTTAGTTTGTCACTTCCTGATGTTAGTGAAGTTCGCGTGGGCCATCCGGAGTTTGACGGTCTAGCCCTGGGGGATCCAACAATGAAATCGGGGTGCTCTCTCGCTGTTCTTCCCTTCCTGACCCGGAGAGACAGCTCCTCTCCAAGTGGCTCCCCGGCCCCCCGAACTGGGTTAATGCACCATATGTGCGGCCAGAGCCTGTCCCTGCGGTTGGCCCCGACCTCTGGAGACCGCTGGGGACCGCTGAGGCCGCCGTCTCTGCTCCCCAAGGGCAGCGGGCAGGCTGTATGTCCACAGCTGGAGCGCCAGCACCAGACAGTGCCTGCCCTGCCGCAGGGGCTCCGTAGACCATGGCTGAACATATGCATGACTTGTAATAACTTGGTTTTCCCTTCGCACCCAGGGACGAAGTAGAAGAACTGCGGCTCTCAGACTGGTTTAACCCTAGGTAAGAAGAGACGCGTCCGCTCACACAAACGATGGTGCTGGGTGTGGCGCAAACGGCTTTTCCGATCACTCAGTGATTGCTGCCCTGGGAGGCTTCCCGTGCCTGGAGTTTTCATTTGTAAGGCTGTCCACACTGACATGCTCTCCTTGGCTTGACCTTCTTGGTTTTGTCAGTGACAGACTCTCTTTGGAGGTGGTTTGAAAACACCATGATGGCTGCTCTCGATTTCGGCACCGGCACAGGGGAGCCCCCCCCCCCCCCCGCCCCATCTGTATTGGTCGCATGGTATTCGACGTTAGGTTTGCACACCATAACTGACTCAACCAGCTCCCTGCTGGTTTTAGATTGTCTGCCATTTGGGACTTTTGCAAGTAAAGTGAACCTTATACGTAGATCTTTTCACACTGCCGCGTGAGTTGATCTGTGGGACAAATCCCCCAAATGGAGTCACTTGGTCAAAGAAGGCAGGCATTTCTAGTTTGGATGTAGGTCGCTAAACTTCCCTTCAATAATTGCACCATTTTAGTTTCTTAGGTACGGTGGATAAACTGAGGCATCAGAAAATCACTTATTCTAGGCAAAACTACTAGTTTAAAAATATCCCAAGTCAACTTGCAATTCTGTAATTATTCCTGTGTTTGAGCATAGTTTAGTACATTTATCATTCATTTGTACTTGAACTTCTGTGAATGTTTTCCTCACATAGGCATGTATTTTAAATGGACCTCAGCTTCTTAGATGAATCATATCCATGATTCATGACACTGTCCTCATTGGTTCCTGCAAAACCTGCTTGTATTATTTATGTGTTTGCTTGCTTGCTTATTTTTAATGCAACAAAAATTATAATGTACATCTAGCCTCCTGTCCTTTCCCATCCCTTTACCCTGTCCCCTGTAACTTTATACAAAGAGGATATCACACTTACGCACTCTTCTGGGACTTACATTTTCTCTTGATACTGTAAGATTCACCCAAATTTTGCACATCACCATAGTTCATTTTGGGTAGCTGTATAATAGTCCAGTGTGGAAATATACGAGTTTATCCACCAGCTGTGCTGCTGGTGGGCACTTGGATCATTTCTGTGCTTTGCTGGCACCAATTCCTACACATGTCACCTGACCCACATGTGTGCAAGAGCCTCACCAGGGGGAGATGGAGCCCTTGGAGGGCAGGGCACTGGACTGTCCAGGCCAGATGATGGTGCCAGATGTTTTCCAAAGCTGGTGCCCTATGTCAATCCCTAAAGTTCTTGCTTTATGATGCTTGGTGTTGCCAACAGAAAGGGCGCAAGAGTATCTAGAGTTATGTTACCAAAAGTGATGGAGTAATAACCTCCCCCAATTTTATCCTTCATAAAACCGAGGAAACTGGCAAAAAATTGTTGTAATCGACTCTTTCAGAACTCTGGAAATTAACCAAAGGCTTGCACCAATCTGCGGAGCATTTGCTCAAGAAAAAGAAAAGTGAGCTTTCTGGCATTTTATCCCACCCTGGGCTGGGTGCCTCCCTCCAGCTCTGCAATGGCCTCAAGCCAGGTCCTCCTTCCCTCCCTCCCTCCCTCCCTCCCTCCCTCCCTCCCTCCCCTTCCCAGGGTGTGTTTTTGCTGTTTGTTGTTATGTTCTTCAGTTTAATAGCTCCTGAACTACTTTTATAAAGTCTGTATTCTTTGTCATTTATGGTCACTGAAATCTCTGCTCAGAAAGAATCTGATTTATAGAGTTGCCACATTATTTAAATGACCCATTTTTCAACCCCGATACCAAACATGTGAAGAAATAAGGCAGTATGGCCTATACCCAGGAAAAAAGCAATCAATCAATAGACTACCCCTGGAGAAGACCAGGTGTGGGACTCACTGGACAAAAACAGTCTTTCTTTAATTGAGGCATAGTTGACATCATATTATATTCATTTAAAGACTGTAGGATGACTAGATCCAGAAAGTTAGACCACAAGACGTACTGGCAAGAATGTCGAGAATTTTGAACTCTTATAGACTGCTGGTGGGAATGTAAAATGGTGTAGCTGCTTGGAAATGTTTGGCACTTCCTCAAAAAGTTAGCCATGAAATTACAAGATGACCCAGAAATTTCACCTCTAGGTATATATCTGAGAGAATTAAAAACATATGTTTATAGAAAATCTTGCAGAGGAAATGTTCATAGCAGTACTACTGATAATAGCTGAAAAATGTAAACAACTAAAATGTCCATCGACCCATGAGTGAATAAAGAAAATCCATACCATAGAATATTATTCAGCCATAAAAGGAATGAAGTACTGCTTCATGCTACAATATAGAACCCGCTGGAAACAGGAGAAGTGAACGAGGCCAGGCACAAAAGACCACAGATGGCATGATTCCATTTATATGAAATTCCCAGGATAAGCAAACCTACATAGACAGAAAGCAGATTAGTTGTTGCCGGGGGCTGCAGGGAGTGACTTCTAGTGGGTACGGTGGTGCATCAAAATATTTCATTTTCTTGGGAGCAACTGTAAATAGCATTGTGTTTTTAATTTCAGTTTCTGCATGCTCCTTGTTAGTGTATGGAGGTGAGATTAAATTTTGTGTGTGCTGATCTTGTATCATCCTGTGACCTTGCTGAATTCACTTATTAGTTCTGGAAGATCTTTTGGCAGATTTTATAGGGTTTTATACATAGGCAAGCCATCTGTAAACAGGGACATTGTTACTTTCTCCTTTCCAGTCCAGTGCTTCATTTCCTTTTCTTGCCTTATTGCAATGGTTAGAATTCACACTACTCTGTTGAATAAGAGTTGGTGAGGGTGGGCATCCTTGCCTTGTTCCCAGTTTTAGGGAGAAAGCATGCAGTCTTTCACCATTAAGTATGATGTGAGCCATGGGGTTTTTGTAGATGCTCTTTATCAAGTTAAAGGTAATTCCCCCCTAAAAAATAGGAATTTTTCTGGGAGTTTGTCTTCTCTCTCTCTCTCTCTCTCTCTCTTTTTTCATTATGAATGGTTGTTGGACTTCGTATAATTTTTTTTTCTGTGTCAATTCATATGGGCATCTGACTGTTCTTTAATTTCTTGGAAAGGTAGGTGCACTGAACAATTTTCAAATGTTTAACCAACTTTGCATGTTTTAAGCTCTGTTGTTACTGGAAGCAAATCTAATATCTCTGTCCCTTTTTGGACTCATCTTTTTATTTCTGCTGGATTGCACTGATGGACCTAACGCAAGAAGGAGAGGTTTAAAGCAAAGTGTCTTGTAGATCTTCTGGCGGGGGGGAGAGAGTAGGAGGAGGAAGGAACATTGAAGGACTCAGGGAGATGTGGGGAGGGAGAGGCACTGTGTCTGCAGCACTGGCTTCAGGCAGTATCAGGGGATGCTCTGACTCTGGGCTGCCTACATCTAAGCTGAGCTGGAGCTCAGAGAAGGTGGCCCCTGGGGTCAAAGGCAGGTAGCCTGGTGACAAAAGCAGCAATTGCTGGGTCTTGCCACTGACCCACATGTGTTAGCTCTGTGGTATTAGGCAGCTCACCCAACCAATCTATGCCTCTGTTTCTCCACACGAAGAGCAAGGACCAAAATAGTGCTTACTGCATAGGGCACTGCAAAGATTGACGAGCTGCTTAAGCTACCTCGACCCAATGCCTGGCACATGGTAAGTGCTCTGTAAGCGTTAGCAGGTATCTCTCAGGGGGTCTCTGCAGCTGTCGTAGTAAAGGCGGGACCTGCTTTACTTGTTTTCTATTTGTTCAACAGAAAACGCCCTGATGTTGTAACGACCACAGACTGGCTTGCTCCGGTCATATGGGAAGGCACTTTCAATAGACAGGTCCTGGAAGAATACTACGGAAGACAGAACCTCACCATAGGCTTGGCTGTCCTTGCTACTGGCAGGTAAATGCGAATGAGCTCACAGAGACCTTCTTTCTCCAGCAGGCTGCCCGTAGGTACCCATAACCGTTGTATCTGGCTGTCGCGTACAAAAACCGTGACGTGGTTTTCTCCTGGCTTAGCTGGCTCATTCATGCCACTTGGCTCACATTTCTTTTCTTTCCAACGGTTGTTTCAAAACTTTAAAGGCTTTTCTCAGACCCCCTGGTTCACTATATCCTTTCTCACTAACCAGAGCAGTCAGACCTGTAGACCCGACCTGCCTACATTACCCACTGGGGGTCCCATAGCATCAGTGACTCGTCAGTTAGACAACACGTTTGGTGACATGTCTCCTTCTCTTGAAAGTGTTCAGGAAGCATCTCCCTCTGTGCGTGTGTGTGTTTTGCAGGATTGCAGACCAGTACCTGGAGCTGTTCATACAATCGGCCAGTAAGCACTTCATGACCGGCTACAGAGTTATCTTTTACATCATGGTGGATGCCTTCTACAGGCTGCCTAACCTGGAGCCCGGTCCTCTGCAGACGGTCCAAGTACTCAACATCAGAGGACACGATGCGGATGACTTTCACCTCATGCGCATGAAGAACTTAGCTGTGCACATAGTAGGGCACATTCAGGACGAAGTTGACTTTCTCTTCAGCATGATGGCCAATAGAGTCTTCCAGAATGACTTTGGGGTGGAGACCCTGGGCACGTCCGTGGCTCAGCTCCATGCCTGGTGGTACTTTAAAAACACGGAGAACCTCCCTTACGAGAGGAGGCCCGGATCCGCGGCGTGCATCCCTTTGGGACAGGGGGACTTCTACTATGATGGCACTGTCATTGGTGGCACGCCCCTGGAGATTTTAAATTTCATCAAAGAATATCTGGACGGGATTATGCGCGACAAGGAAAATGGGCTGAACAGCACCTACGAAAGACATCTGAACAAGTACTTTTTCATCCACAAGCCCACCAAGCTGCTGTCTCCGGAGTACAGCTGGGACACGGTGCTGTGGCCCCCAGCCCAGGTCTGGTTGGTCAAGGCAGCACGGTGCTTGGAGAGGGCCTTCTGACTCACCAGCTTCTCCTGTGGACGGGCCGACTGCGTAGACACGGATTCCTGAGCAAAGAGGGCGTCCTAAAGCTCTCCTGGTTTCCGGGGTGTAAACGTTGATGCCATCCATCCGCAGGAAATGTTTCTCCTCGCAGTTGTGAACCGTCCAGTTTGGTCCATGCAGGATAAAGAATAAAAACGATTAATGTTTAATCACAGTGATGTTGGCATCTATATATCGTAGAGAGCCGGCTCGTCATTTAGGAGGCATAATGCCTTTTAAGATAGGCCATCTGCATACTGCATTGTTATTATACTTGCTAGTGTTCATTTCTTGACTCTATTCACTGATTGTTCTTTCTGTCCCTGAGCTAATTCTACACACTTGTAATCGCTGTCGGTTCCCACTCGTTACAACAGAACGGTGTTTGTGTGACTTCTCTCTGAAACATTTCAAAACTTTTGTTCTTTCATGTGGATTCTAGATTCAGGTTTGCGGTCAGCGGTAAAGACCCCACTGGAATATTGTTTTTTAAAGATTTTATTTGTTTGATAGAGAGTGTGAGGGCGCCAGCAGGGGAGGGGCAGAGGGAGAGGGAGAAGCAGACCCCCGCTGAGCAGGGAGCCCTACGTGGGGCTCGATCCCAGGATCCTGAGATCACAACCCGAGCCAAAGGCAGACACTTAACCGACCGAACCACCCAGGCGCCACCCCCACCCCCGCCACTGGAATATTGATTGAATTGCTTGGATGGACAAGTTAACTTGAGGATTATTAAATATTTATGATATTGAAGGCTATGCAGGAATACCCCATATCCATTTATTTAAGTCATTTTTTCACTGTCCCAGAGTAAGGATTTAAAAAAAATTTTTCTCCATATACATTCTGCAGATGTCTTACTAAATGTCTGAGCATTACTTTCACATTGTACCATGCCCATTCTATTTCTCAAATTTGGGTTTTCTTTTTTTTTTTTAATTATGTTCAGTTAGCCACTGTATAGGGCATCATTAGTTTTTGATGTAGTGTTCCAAGATTCATTAGTTACATATAACACGCAGTTTCTGGTTCACAGGAAAGCATCGTGCCTGGAGCACCTGCTTGTCTCCGGCGTCTGAATGAGCCACAGGTAGACATCCGCCCCCGGGGGCCAACTGGCTTCTCACAGTGCTGACCTCATCAGGTTGGTTGGCAATGGTGGATGTTGCCTTTGCTGAGGGTGTGGACTCCCAGGAGGCCTTGTCTTTGCTGGGGCGTTCCTGGGGCAGGATCTGGTCATACCTGTCTCTGGCAATTCCAGACGGCCCGTATGGAGGCCCCTGATCCAGTTTCTGGAGAGCCTGCCCTTCAGTGGGTGGTCCCTGGCTCACCCGGGGAAGACGGGAGAGTCTTTGGTCCAGGCATTGCCCTGGTAGCACACTTGACTTTCAGGAGAGGGCGCTGGCTTGTCTCAGCTCCCCTGCTGCGCAGGTGCACGGGCCTGTGTTTCCCTGGCCCTTCTGGGGGAGAGCATGGGCAGGTACTGTGCGCACTCAGTGATCTCTGACCTGGGCAGGACGTGCGGCTTGGCTCACGGGGCTAGGTGCACCTCTCTGGAGTTGTCCCAGAGCAGGACCCAGGTGGAAGCAGGTCAGAGGAGCGCCATCCCAGCCCCTAGCAGGGTTGTGCCCCCCAAGGACTCCCTGGGTGGCCCCCTGCCACACTGCAGTGCTGTGTTCGCTGTGCCCCAGGGCTCTAGGGGCTGCCTGTCCCTTCCCGGCCACTCAGAGCGTTCTCACGCCCCTGGGCCCGGCTGGGAGAGGCCAGGAAGGGAATGAGCAGGGGGCTGGGCTCAGGGTGGAGGGGCTGCCTCGGGTGGCAGAGGGATTGGGGAGGCACCTGGGCAAGCAAGGCGGCGGAGGGGAGAAGGAGGCGAAGGCAGGAGTCTGGAGGACCGGGCAGGAAGTCTCCGGGGGCCCTGACCTAGGCTTCGGCTGGGCGGCACCGGGCTGTGGGGGGAGAACAAGATGGGGATCCAAGGCTTTGTCCGTTCCCTCTGAAGCCAACCAAACCCCGCGTGCGGCCGGCTCCCTCACTGGGGAGCAGCGTGCCTTCTGCCGTCCAGCACCCATGGGCGGCCACGTCCTGCCATAGCCCCCCTGCCCTCGCTTGGACCCAGACTCCACCAGCCGCCCCTCGGTTCGCCCCCCTCGCCGCCAGGGGCTGGTGACCCCCCAGCACGGCCGTGCTCCCCGCTCTGGGCTCCCTTCTCCCTGACAAATCGGGGACGGGCCTGCAGTGACCCTGTGTGACCCACGCGGGGGCTGGAGCTGTCTGTCTTCTCCGAGCTTCCCACCCCAAACAGCCCGGCCTAGGTGTGTTGATGGACTGAATGGTGCACAGGGAAGGGGTGTGGGGGCGAAGGGCTCCGCTGTGCGGCCTTGGCCTTGTTTCCAAGCCCCTCTGACCCTAGCGTCTGAATCCACAGAAGGGAGACGGATATTGTGCCCAGGTCACTGTGTTCTAGGGGATTCATGCCACCTGGCAGGCGAGGCTCCCAGCAGGGGCCCGACCATATGGGGGGCCCTGGAGGGGCTGCCCGTGTTTTTAATTGCTCCAGTCCTCTGCCTGTTGTTGCTACTGGGGGCTCCAAGCCTGGCAGGCGAGGCCCCAGCGCAGCAGCCTGGGCGTGGGGGAAGTATCTGGAGGGCCGTGCCTACCGTCCAGGTTGAAGACAGGGGCTTTCTGCAGCTGGAATCTGGCAACGTACCCAAGGTACTTCCCCAGCCACGTGGGGTCCCCGAGCATTCTTCTGGCTGAAATCAGAGGGGCCGAGAGTCCAGGGGCCCGTCTTTTTTCCGAGTGCCTCCTCTTCCTGCCGGCCCGAGCCCTGCCGCCTCAGCCCTGGTCCCCCTCCCTCCTCGTCTGCCCTGAGAGCAGGTCTACTCTTGGCTGAGCGGGCACTCCCTCCTCAAAGGGGCGCGTCAGACCCCGACCCCTCTGGGGAGGACCCCCTTCACACAGCAGCCTGCGGCCTGCATGACCTGGCCAGCCCGGGACGCCCCCCAGCGCCTCCATCCAGTCCTCAGGACAAGGTGTCCCCACCCCCCCCCCGCGCCCCCCCCCCCCCCCCCCCCCCCCCCGTAACCCCCCCGGGCCCCCCCCCCCCACTGTCCCGGGGCTTCTCCACGTGGCACTTCCACTCTCTGAGGTCAGTTGTTTTAGGTTCATTGACTAGCTCCCCGGCGACGGCAGGGGAAGGTTTCTGTTCTAGCGGAGTGTCCCTGCTCCTGGGACACACACACACGTGCACACGCGCACACACGCACGCACGCGCACACACACGCACACACGCACACACACCCACGAGGCTCTGCAGTAGGCGGACCAGCTGAACGAATTCCTGAGGGAGCGAGCGGGCAGGGGCAGCGATGCCCGACCTGAGGGGTCCCTGGGAGCAAGCGCCCACGGGGGTGCGGCTCTGAACAGTCCGGCTGGTACCAGCGCCCCCAGAGCAGCAGGCCCTAAGCACAGGTCTTGGGCAGCACCCCCGCCAGCGTCGGGGAGAGCCGCCTCCTACCCAGCAGAGCCCACAGGCTGGTGGTCTCGCCGGCGTCCTCGAGGCGGACGTAAAGGATGAGGTGGCTGTAGTCCGTGCTGACGAAGCGGACGAGCATGCTGGCGCCTCTCTCCACTGTGGGAGACCCCGGCCCAGTAACAGGGGACGCCTCTCTCCTCCACCCGCTCCCACACGCCCCGGACAGCGCAGGACACCGGGAGGATGTCTCCCTCCAGCGCCGGCACTTCCCCCGCGGCCCCGGTTTGGGGCATCGAGCGTCCCCTGGCCCCCAGTCCAGCACAGCACCCCGGGCCAGAGGGCTGGGCTACTCACGGGAGCCTTGGAACTGGCCTTGGAGCCCGGTTGGGTGGACGGTGATGTTCACTCCTTTGCATACCCCCTCTCCTCTGGGAAAAGAGGAGGGGGCATGCGGTGGTCAGGGCCTCTGCCTGTCTCCCGGCCCCCGGGGACATCGGAGGTGCCCTGGACGAGGTCCCTGGTGTCTGCCTGAGGCTCTCGGCTCCCTGGGCTCCCGAGGGTCGTCTAGCTGGGGGCGGGGCTAGAGGGCAGGAGTGAGGAACCGGGGACTTCCTTGTTGCTGGAGTGGAGCCGAACCTCCCGGGAGCAGTGGTGCCCAGTCTGTCCTTGGCTTGGAGCTCCGGGTCCCGGGCGGGGACCCCCGTTCTGGCTGTCCAGTCACCTGGGCTCCACACAGAGGCCATGCCTTTTTGGCCCCCTGCCCCCAGGTCTTCCGTTTCTCCGCTAGGGTGGGTGGGGGTTGGGCCGGGTGCCAACGCACCCTGGGACTGCACAGCCCTTGGGGTGGTGTCTGTGGCCGAGCCCCGGCAAGGCTGTGGCCCTAACTTAGGGTCCTCAAGGCCACGGGTGCTGGACTGTTCTAAGTATTGCTGAGATCAGCACAGCGTGTCGCCACTGTGGATGGTCCTGATCAACCGGCCAGTGCGAGGCACGGCCCCGCCTGGGCTTCTCCAGCCCCCACGGCGGGAGGGACCGGGCTGTGTGTGTGTCTTTCCCCAGGCCCCTCGTCGTAAAGCTTCGGGGCTTCTGAAGCTAAGCCTCAGACCTCTCGGGAGGGTCTCGAGCCTGCAGCTTAGTGCCATGTGTCCCTCCGGTTCCCCCCACTGGTCACTGTCCCTTGGGAGGCCCCTGAGCGGGAGCACCCTGCGAGGAGCTGCAGAGGCCGTGCTTACGTCCAGAAGAAGACGAACTCCACGTCCTCGTCCCGGGTCCAGATGGAATGGAGGCCGAGCCTCAGGGGATCGGCTGGGGAGACCAGGTGGGCGCGGCTGGCAGCCAGCTGGGTGGTCAGCCAGCGTCCCTCCACCTGCAGGGTGCGAGGTGCAGAGGGGGTGGATCGTCCCCGGCCTCCAGTGTTGGCTCTCAGGCTCCAGCCCCGCCGGCGCTGAGCGCTGCCAGGGGAGGTCAAGGGCCAGTGGGGTGTACTGGAGGGGGCAGGGGGCCCAGTCCTTGTGAATGTCCTCCGTCAGGTTGCCCTCTGTCTCCCCCCGTGCCCTTCCCCCACTTCCTTCAGCTCCTCTCGTATCTGGCCCAAGCGCTATCCCCTGTTGGGTTCCAGATGCCCTGGCCGAGTCTGGGGAGGGGTGAGGGCCGCCCTGGAACCGTCACCGAGTCCTGGGGTTGCTCCAGCCACGCTC